AATCATGCATCTATCAACAAGTGAATCTAAGAAGCAAGTGAATAAATAATCTGGTGATCATAATAGAATCAGGGACATAGAAAGGGAATGGATTGACTATTCTCGGGGGGGGAAAGGGGTGTTGGAGAAGAGACTGGACAAAAATCGTACACCTATGGATGAGGACAGTGGGTGGAGAGTGAGGGCGGAGGGTGGGGTGGGAACTGGGTGAAGGGGAGTTATGGGGGGAAAAAAGAGGAACCAATGTAATAATCTGAACAATAAAGATTTAATTAAAATAAAAATATTTAGAGGAACTGCCGTATTGTTTTCCATAGCCGGCGCACCCTCTTCCAAATGGGCTGAATGGTTCCAATTGTGGCACCTGCTCACCAGCGCCTGTTATTTTCTGTGGTTTCATTTCTTAGTGGCCATCCTCAAGGATGTGAGGTGATCTCTCACTACAGGTTTTGATTCATGCATTTCTTGGTTGATTGTTGTATGTGCCCCGACCAGGATAGAACTGGCAAACTGTGTGTATCAGGAGAACACTAACCAACTGAGCCACCCAGCCAGGGCTTTCATTTGTAGTTCTTTCATTTTACTGATGTTGCGTCTTCCTTCATGATGCAGTTGGCCATTTGTACATCTTCTTTGGAGAAATATCTGTTCAAGCTTTTAGCCTTTTCTTCAATTGTGTTATTTGGGTTTCCTATGTTGCCTTGTGTGAGTTTGTAATATAAGCTGGATATTGCTTCCTTAACAGATACAGCTTCTCTCCCATCCTGTAGGAGGCCTCTGGAGTCTGGTGAGAGTGTCCTCTTGTGCTCAAGGTTTGAAGTTGGTACAGTCCCACTTGTCTCTGTTTGCTTCCCTTGTCTGCGCTTTTGATGTAAATATCCAGGAAATCATTGCAAAACCCAATGTCACGGGCTTTACCCCGATGTTTTCCTCTAAGAGTTTTATACTTTTGTGGGTATTATATTTAGGTCGTTAATACATTTTGAGTCCATTTTTGCATAGAGGAAAGTGATTTTGTAATGGAAACCTAGAACTGCACGAAAGAAACATAACTCTGAGGGTGATTTTTTTCAAAATAGTCATTGTTTATCTGCAGTGTGTTCTCACGGTGGGATCTGAAGAAGCTAAACTCACAGAAATAGAGTAGAATGGAGATGCAGGGCTGGAGGTGCGGAAATGGGGAGATGTTGGTCAAGGATACAAACTTTCAGCTACAAGATGAACAATTCCTGGGGATGTATTGGACAGCATGACGACTACAATTAACAGGATTGTATTATATACATGAAAGTTGTTATGGTTATACATCATTCATATTATAATCATAACAATGGTAATTACAGGAGAGGGTGAGAGCGTTAATCAACCTTATTGTGGTAATCACTTCACTATATAAGTATATCAAATATGGACATTGCATACCTTACGCTTGCATGCATTCTGTTTAAAAAATATCTCTATGAAACTGGAAATAAAATAATTGTTTACATCTAAGTAATTATTAATGTTCTCTAAAGTTTATCAAATTGATAGATGTAAGATATATGAACGTAATAATACCCAATGGTGAGAGATGTGTCTTAAATGTTGAATTTTTTTATTATTCATGAGTAGATATAGCCTGGCTGGTGTAGCTCAGTGGTGGAGTGTTGACCTGTAAGCCAGGAGATTACACTTCGATTCCCAGTCAGGCTACTGGCCTGGGTTACCTACTTCATCCCGAGTAGAGAATATGGAGGAGGCATCCAATCAATGATTCTCTCTCATCACTGATATTTCTATCGCTCTCTCTCCCTCAAACTTCCTCTCAGAAATCAATAAACATATTTTTTAAAAAATAAGAAGAGATATAAATACCAACTGGAGGATAATTACAAGGAATAAACAATATCCCTTATTTGCAACAGCTTCAACAACAGAAAGGCGAGATGGAGATGTCATTGGACTCAAGAAACTCCCACAGACACTGCAGAGTAAAATCAAAGGTCATGTGACACCATATAAACGTTCTCATTTATGGTTAAATGCTGGGATGTGTTATGACAATAATTCTGAGGTTGGCGTCTAGGCACAGGGAGAGGAGAGCTGCTCCTAACTCTACTGCGTATCAACACCTACAGATGGGAGACCAGAAGCTCAGGTGGTGACCAGGTAACTCCTGGGCAAGGGGAGGATAAGATGCCAACTACAGTGTGTCTGGGCCTGAGAAGGGAGAGAGAGGAGCAGGGGGTGGGGGATGAGTGGGCAGAACCAACAGAGAGAAAGAAAGAGGGGGAAAGAGGGGAACAAGCCAAATGGGAGAAGCCCAGGCAGAAACAAGGGGCTGTCAGTGGGTGTGTATTATTGTTTATTTCTGTATCTTATGATGTTTTCAGCCATTAAGCAAATGGGAAGTCATGGAGAGATACGGCCTCCCAGGGCCCGCCCATTCTCCGAGACAGCAAAGAATTTCAGATGCAAACCAACCCAACCTGAGCCCATATTCCCAGCCTCCCCACCTGCCCCAAATCACCCAGGACCTGGGACCAGACACACAGAGACCACGCCCACAGGCCCATCCCCCAGACTGACACACACCAGCTGGTCCTGAACGGCTCTCCCTGCCCTGCCTTGCGTTTCCCATGGGACCCCAATCAAGGCCTTCGCTAGGCGGCCCTGCACCTGCATCTGCTTCCTGAGGAAATCCGGGGCTTCCCGGGCACAGCGGCCCCTCCTCTCAGGAGGTGAAAGGAGTAAAAGTCTTCTCTCCATGGCATTGACTCCCCTTGGCGTCACTCAGTCACTTCCACACACTGAAACCCCAGGGGCACATTTGAGGCAGGTGAGTCAAGAGCGTCCAGGGAGAAGGTGAAATTGACGTCCCAGGACGGTCCCTCTAGCCTGGTGTCCGAACCTCAGTCCCATCCTGAGAGGAAGGAGGATCCATCAGGAGCTCTGCCTCCTGCTCCGGGGGCCTCCACACCTGCGGGGCCCACACAGGTGTCAGCTCACAGACTCGGCCACTTTGGCTCTAACTCCAGGCAGTGCCAGACAGCTCGGCCCCACCTGCACCTCAGGGCCAATCCCTGACCTTCCCCGGGGGAGACAGGCCTGCTCACCTGGTGTAGTAGAGCCAGGTGAGGACGTAGGTGAGGAGGAAGCCAGCCCCCATGAGGGCCCCTCTGATCAGGGTGAAGACCAGGGGCCAGGAGCCCTGCGGCTCCTGGGTCACACATCTGCTGGAGTGCGGGTTGTCTGGGTACACGGGAGAAGGGTGACCTGTTGTCCAGGACTCAGTCCACCCACAACCCCAACACCTGACCGGATGGCCTGCCCCACACCTGTCCTGTACCTTACTCTGCTCAGAGAGGCTGAAGGAGAGGAGCTGGGAGCCCAGCAGGTGAGCTCCCCTCCACCTCCAGGCCCCACATGGGGCATCTGGGATAGAAAGATACAGCCCCACTTCAGATGGAAGTCACCCCAATCCCAAGGAGCACCAGTGGGAAGCAGGAAGGTGGGAGAGCTGTCCTTCTGGCCCCCTCCCCACCTACATGCACATCCATGGGTGAGTGTTCTCAGGTTAGCTCAGCCTCCTGCACACACACACACACAAACACACACACACACACACACACACACACAAAAGGGTTTCCTAAGGAGCCCTGGCTTCCAGCGGCTCCCCGTTCTGTTTACTTTCTTATATACACTGTGTTTTCATG